TTCAAAATTTTGAAAATTCAAAGAAAAAAACATTTTCAAAAAAGATGAGTTCTCTGGAAGCATGTCTTGGAAATCAACGAATATCTCTCCGAAGCTCAAGATTGAACTGGGGCAGGAGAAGCCAAAATTTTAGGGCAAAATTTGTTGGAGCAAGAAAAATAAATTATCTTAGGTTGAGGTTTGTAAGAGTACACCCTGGTGGAAATGAAGACAAACTGGGTCTAAGAAAATGAAGACTGCTCATACAATTATTCCCTTCACATATAAACATTTTGTATATCAGATTTAAGCATATTGAAGAATCCAAGATCAAGAATCAGAAATTCAAGATTCCAGCATCAAGAGTCATCGAGACTGACAACCAGAGATTGAGATTTATCTCCAAACCCTAAAATAACATGTTTCACATATACATTTTAGGCATACATAAGAGCATTGCATCCATGGCATCACATATGTGCATAATTTTGCAGATTCATGCTAGCGTCAATTTTAACTTCACAGCGAAAGATATTGAACTCAAAAGACGTGCAATTTACAAGTGTAGATTTTAACTTCACAACGAAGGACATCCAATTAAAAGCTCAATTTCACAGCTTCCATGATTTCAATTTCATGAAGGATATCATGCCCGATGAAGTGATTTAGTGCCACAATAAACATGCCATCCACATATTTGACTTCCTTAAGTCAACGATTAAAGCTTCTGAAGGGATTTCCTTAACATGCATGAACAAGAAGATTATCGATCACCTTTGAGATTGTTTCTCTTGAAACAAGGAGTTGTCTCACTCAAGACTAATTTACTCAAAACAAAGTTTTGTCTCTCTTGAGACAGATTCTCTCAAAACAAAGTTTTGTCTATCTTGAGACAGATTCTCTTAAAACAAATTTTGTCTCTCTTGAGACAGTTTCCCTTGAAACAAAATCTTTGAATCTGTTTTCCTTGAAACAAATTTTGTCTCCCTTGAGACAGTTTCTTTTGGAACTAAGTTTTGTCTCTCTTGAGACATTTTCTCTTAAAACAAATTTAGTCTCCCTTGAGACAGTTTCTTTTGGAACTAAGTTTTGTCTCTCTTTAGACAGTTTCTCTTGAAACAAATTTTGTCTCTCTTGAGACAGTTTCCCTTGAAACAAAATCTTTGAATCTGTTTTTCTTTAAACAAATTTTCTGTCCCCTGAGACAGGTTCTTTTGGAACTAAGTTTTGTCTCTCTTTGGACAGTTTCTCTTGAAAAATTTTTTGTCTCTCTTGAGACAATTTCCCTTGAAACAAAATCTTTTAATTTGTTTTTCTTTAAAAAAATTGTCTCCCCTGAGACAGGTTCTTTTGGAACTAAGTTTTGTCTCTCTTTAGACAGTTTCCCTTTAAACAAATTCTGTCTCTTGAGACAGTTTCTCTTGAAACACAAAAAACCTTTGAAATTGTTTCTCTTGAAACACAAAAAACAAAAAACCTTTGAAAATGTTTCTCTTGAAACACCAAACCTTCGAGTTCAGTTATGCTCAGCTCAAAGGCACATCATTTGCAGCATAGCTTAAGTCGAGAAAAGCTATCTATCAACGAAGACCTTTAAAGTTTGATCTCATTCAGCTTGAGTGCCTATCAACAACTTGATGAAGTCAAAGAATTACTTTCCAATCAAATTTTTAGCCAATGTCTTTAAATCGAAAAGAATACCAAAGTGGACTACAATTTGGCAATAAGAAGTCACATTATGATTCAAATTTCGAATTGTGGCTTCAATTCAATATAATTTCAAGATGGAATCGACTTCACGACGAAGGAATCATCTGTGACATAACAACACCAAAGTCTTCAGGACAAGTTTTACCTTTACGACAAAGTATCTTGAGCCAGAAGACGTTCCATGAGCTACTGGTCAAAGCTCTGAGCTCGATTTCAACTTCACGACGAAGGATTTCGTGCTCATAATTTTTCATTTCAACTCGACCTCACGACAAGGGAGTTATTTCTTATTTCAGTTCAAACTGACAAACCTATCAAATATCGGGTTTCAACTATACGACAGAGGACTTCGATATGGACGAAATTTGTCTTTTAATCTTTGCTCTATTTTCGTTACACGATAATGAGCAAAGAGGGGCAACTGAAGACACCAGAATTCGTCCATTAAATTTATTTTATATAATATATATATTAATATTTATATTATATAATATATAATATTATTCATTCATTTGGTTCCGTGTTACAGGCCCATTTCACGCAAACAAGAATAGCCCAAGGCTAGTGGCCCAAACCCACGTGCAAACCAGTAATAAGTAGACCCACAGTAGACTTAGGGTTTATAGAAACCCTAGCACTGCATGCCCATCTCTGGTCTCACGTCGTTCAGTCAACCAAACCCCGATCGAAGTTCCCTCGCACAACACGTCTCCCACGGCTGGTTTTCTCGGCGTCGTGACCGCATGAAACACAAGCAAGTAACAAATCAGAATCATGGACTCAACAAACACAACCAAACTGAGTTTTAGTCGAAGCAAAACTCTAAAATAGGCTTGTTTTTTCGATTATAAATACATGTAAATCATCACGCTTTGGGGGGATCACACGGTTATACACGCAAATACCGAAACAAAACACTAGAAAACACGAAAAAGCATAATAATACCTTGTAGATTTCGAAAGCAAGAAAGAAATAAAAAAGGTATTTTACCTTGATTCGGCGTGTTTGGCCTTGTGCATGTTGTATTTCACTTGTTCTCTTTCTCGTTTTTCTTCAAAATGACCGATGAATAGGGGGCGTTTTCAAGATCTACTTTCGTAGATCTAGCCCCCGAGGCTTGTGTTTTTGAAAAATTATTTGGATTTTTAAAACAAAGAGGGGAATGGCTTTAAAAAAAACTAAAATTTTTTACATTTTGTCGTCGGCGAGCGGCGGTCGGCGACAACAACGGCGACCGAAATCTGGGAACTACGGCGGCGTTCATGTGTTCATCAAGAACACATGAACTGGGTAGAGAAAAGGAGAGAAACAGGGATGGGTCGGCTGATTAAATGAAACAAATGAAGTTTTTTAAAAAATTTATCTTATATACTCGGCCCACGAAGACCCGCGCAACCCGACCCATCAGCAAAGGATCCGCGTGTTTTTATTAAAAAGAGGTATACTTCACTTTCGTTCCCTCTTATTTTTAATTTTTAATTTTTTGACTACCGGAGGTCCTCCACGGAAGCTGCTCTCAACCTGGCGTTGGGGGACAGCCTACTACCCTACCTCCCTCTTATCCCATTACATATGAGAATAGGGTTTTGTTGTTGTTGTTGTTGTTGTTGTTCCATTTTGACCCCAAATCTGATTTTAAACCCTAATTTTGTTCTAATTTGGCCACTCAATTTGTTTTTCTTTTCAATTTGACCCATGTTAAATTCCATCATATTTTTTTTTATTTTTTTTAAATCTTTACTTTTTATTTTTTATTATACATATATATATATTATATATATTTCTATTTATTGGTTTTACTCTATATTTATTTTATATATATATTCATTTGTTTTTTTCCTTTATTTATTACTATTTTCATTTTTTTTATTATTCATTTCACTTATATTTATTTGTTCACTTTTTTCCCTTGTTTAATATTTTATTTTTTTACGCATATTTATTTCATTTATTTACTCACTTTTTATCTTGGTTTCTTTTTATTATTTATTTTTATATTATTTTTTTATGTGTATGTTCCTTTAGTTTCCTTATTTCATTTGTTTGTTTATTTACTTTTTGTTATTTTACTCATTTATCTTTTTCATTTTTTCATCTTATTTTTTACATTATTATTTCTTTTATTTTATTCTTTTTTTACTTTATTCATTTTCATTTTTTAACCTCTTAATGTTTTAAAAGGGGTGTTTCAATTTATCAGATGTAAGCTTTGGGTCATTAGTTTTACCTTTTAATTTAAAGTTACAATTTTCTTACTCTAAGACAACTGGAAATTACGTAGTACCGAAAGGGCAGTTCAAGGCTGCTACCCTTCATTAAATGTAACCGACTCCCGAATCCGACACATCTTTGGTACAACGTAGATCATGTAAGATGGTGTTCGACCCATCTAAATTCGTTTTAAAATGGTCGGTGGCGACTCTAACCCAATTATTCATGTCGAAGCCTAATTCCGGACCCAACCGAAAGACGATCCCGACAACCTCAGTGATGGATTCTACTACAGAAAGAGAATCCTTACTTGAATCATACTTTTTCCAGGCAACATTCAACAACAACAACAACAACAACAAAACTCAATTCCCATATGTATGGGGTAAGGGGGAGGTAGGGTAGTAGGCTACCCCCAACGCCAGGTTGAGAGTAACTTCTGTGGAAGACCTCCGGCAGTCAGAAAATTAAAAATTTAGATAAAATGCAATGCATGTATAAATAAATACATAAATACATAGCTAAAAAGTATTCATATGCAGTCATTAAAATCATATGTGCGTCTGTAACGGGAATTAATCCCTGCATAATAATCCCTGCGAAAGAATCTCTGCATATAGACATAAACATAAGATAAGATCCGGCTAAATTTAAAAGAGGAAACATGAAGAGAATGATACACAGAAGTCAACGTTAGCAAGCCAGGAGGAGTCAGCTAATGACTGAAATAACTAGAAAGCGAAGAAAGATCGACAAAGAACAATCGCTTAAAACATCGAGTTACGATAATCTCCTCTCGTCGGGAAGAAAATGAGTCATTACTGCTTGCCAGCAGCCATCAGAGGAAGCGATGATAATCTATCCAGGAGCGGGAGACTGACGAACTGCAAATATGGTACAATCTCCAAATGTTAATAAAGAGAAGTACGACTTTGCAGTCTAACAAACAAAACATGAAGATGGGGTTAAGAAATACTTGTGTGTGGTACAAGGTTCCTAATGGAGTTGGCAATTGTGGGAGTTCCTGGTACACTGGAATTCGACCTGCACGGTTATCCCGAATCTGTTTGGAAAACCACAAGCAACTTTATTGGAGGTTAATGATATTCAACCTGCAGACTTCCTGGTAAATATCTCCAATCCTTCAGCTGAACACTGTGCAGATATTGTCCAGCAAGTAAAGGGCTTTAAATCCAACTCATCAACAAGACTAAATATTTTTATACGGATACCAAAACCCTATCCCCCCAAACAAAAGATGGAGATCAGTCCTCAATCTTCAATGAGAGAATCTAATAAACAAATTGCTATTGGAGCAACATAAAGTATACTACTGCACAACGTTGTAAAACTAAATTTAAGGAAATTAATCAAAATATTTCAAGACCTGTTAGGTCCTCTAACATCAAGAACAAAGATGTGGTTGCACTACTGTTAACTTAGCCTATAGTTCTAGAAAATGGGATTCATATGAAACAAAGTTCACAGTTATATAAGCTCATAGTTGATTCTTATCAATGGGTAAACCATGCTTTTTGTGGCAAATGAATATGAGATTTCTGTTATTTGCTTACAATGAATCTGTATGATTCAATAATGGCAGAAGAGCATCAAAATTGGTGTTGGAATGATTTACCTTGGATGCCGAGATTATCTGGACTGACAATACCACCACCTCCATCAACAACTGTAACATCAAATCCCTGAAAAAAAAATCACAAAACTGAAAGTTAATCAAGGAAAGGCAACATTCTTTCCCTTATAAGCAATATAGCAAGTAGGGATTGAAAAACGCTTGCGGTAGTGCAATAACTGTTTTGGTCAATACCGCTGCACAACGACTGCTATTCTGATAGCGGACCAAGTGCCTGATTGCAGAGGTGGTGAGCAGCACCGAGACCAGCCCACCCCGAGCCAACCACAACAACTTTCTTCCTCTTGTCGATGCTTTTACTGTTGTTGTTATCGTTGTTGTCTCCTCCCTTGGCATGGACTCGAACAGAATCAGCTCTGCCTAAAAATCCAACTCTCTTACTGTATCTGTTCGACATAAAAGGAACCATTTACTCATAGCCAACATGGCTTTCTCCAAGTTTGTTCTTCAACGTGACGCCTTTCAACTGCTCCTAGTCTATTTTGTTTAATTATGGGACTGTCCAGAAATTAGAGACGTGGTGTTCACTCTCATGGCCACAAATTTTCAGTGGTTTTTTTTCCCTTTCATTTTAACATTCCTCCCCGTGGATAAAACTCATTTACTTAAAAAAATATTTTTTTATTTCATTTGATTTGAAAAAACCTCTATTTGAATTGATTCTATTCATAATTTTAAAAAATTTGAATTGAATCGAAAATATTTTAAATTTGAATCGAATTTTCAAATAGAACTTAAACAATTAAAAAATTAATAATTAAATTCTTTAATCTTAAGTAATATGTTTATATTACATATAAAAATATATATAAATATATAAAACAATTTAAATTTGAATTAAAGTAATATAATATATATTTATAATTAAATTTAACTGAAAACTCTAATAATTAAATTTAAATTTTATAAACACTCGATTTGAAAATAATAAATAAAATTTAAATTATAAGATTTTTTTTTTGTTATAGTCAGACAATTAGACGGTCCTAATCAAACGAAAACATACTCCTGACCCAAGAGCGCAAAGCATAAGCCTTGTCATGTCTGATTGATTAAATTCAGCTTAGATTTTTTGTTGCCCCCCAAAATGAAGGAAGGCATTCTTTTCTCATTCTTTGTTCCAAAAATGGCTGCAGCCACACTATCCGTCCGGCCAAACCGTCTCACTCCGGGGGGGCCTGTTCCTAGACCGCCGGTCAACCAAATACATCCTTCTTTTAAATCCACGAAGACCGAGCCCTGGAGAGCCGCGCCAATCCTCCACACCCGGCGAATATTAGCCTCTCGAGCTGGTTCACGAGCTGATGACTCGGCTCCGTTCGAGATGTCTGTTGAGAACGCGCTCAAGCTCCTTGGAGTCTCCGAAAGTGCTTCTTTTGATGATATTCTTCGCGCCAAGAACTCGATTGTTGCCTCTATTAAGGATGACCAAGGAGCTATTGCTCAGGTTTATTCATTGCCTTTCTCTCTTCAGTTTGAGAATTTTATAACGTTCAAAAGATTTGGGTGATAAAATATTCAACTTTTTGCGTAAATTTGTTCATTTTTCTACTTGTTAGCATTCCCAATCTTCTCTATGCAAATTTGCAAATCCTACATTTATTTCTATTCTCAAATTGGGATTTGAGTTTTTACTTTATGTCGAATGTCGATTACCTGGATTTGATTTTATTGCCTCAATTTAGAATAATTATTCTTCTTTACAGCTCCCCATCCAAAACTAACAAAATAAACGTTCTTTATAGCATGTAATTTGCAATTTCTTAGTGTTCTATCTACTAGATGGTATTAAACTGCGGCCGCGATGTAGCATAACCGGCTGTATTGTAATATTTTAAGATCATCGTGATATAAAAACATAATTATTTTTAGGAAATAAATCTTATGTCGTTCCGTCAGCAACATCCACGGCTACAACTGCAATCGCAATTTAATACTATGATCTACTAGGATGGTGTTTGATGGACCTTTCCCATTTTCTGAATTAGACAAATGCTTATTATTTTGTTGCCATGAAGTGAAATTATGGTGCTTATGGTGGTTCATCTATAGATGTGTTCACTTAACTAATAAGATCCAATAAACAAGAACCACCATTTTTTTTTCCTGATAAATATGTACTGTATGGTTGTCTGTAGTTTTTGTTGTTTGTGTTTTAGGTTGAGGCTGCATATGATATGCTGCTCATGCGGAGCTTAACCCAACGGCAAGCCGGGAAAGTCGTGGACAGAAGCATTCGATACGCAGATGTTAAACCTGTTAACCCTCCCGGGAAAGCCGGGGAAGTCGTGGACAGAAGCATTCGGTGGGTGCAAACAACTGTGAAGAATTTACCTGTTTCAGTTGAAACTCCAGTTGCTAGTGAATTGGGAATACAGACCGGTGTGTACGGAGCTCTTATGGTTCTAACTTATGTGAATGGAGCTTCTACATCCTCGGCGATTCCTTATGCCGGACCTGACGTTCCCGGGTTTATCTTAGCAAGTAGCTTTGGTGCTTCCTTGTATTTCATGACTCTGAAGAATGTGAAGTTAGGTAACGAGGTTTACTGCATATGGACTATATTGCTTGCTATAGAAGATACTTAAGTTCATTTCTCTCTTTGAGCTAATTTTTCATGCTTTGCTCGTGTCGAACTTCGGTTTTGCTCGTTGAAGTCCTTAAAAGCCGAAGGAAGTTGGCATGCCATTGGGATTTTATGCTCCTTTCTGCCGAAGCATGCCAATAGATTAGACTGCATAATTGTTCAAATTTCATTTGTTTAAAACTTATGTTTTCCTACTTGTCTTTGCAGGTAAGGCTACATTGATTACCATAGGGGGGCTTGTTGCTGGTGCGGTGGTGGGATCAACTGTTGAAAACTGGTTGCAGGTAGATGTCGTCCCGTTTCTTGGAATACACTCTCCGACTACCATTGTCGGTGAATTTATACTCTTCTCCCAGTTCTTGGTTTCTCTGTATCTAAGGTAGGGGTAAGAAGATATTTATGGAATTTAAGTTGTGAAACCTGTAATTATTCATTTGCATGCTCATTATCAAGCTTTTCTAGGATATCATTGCATGTTGTACAAAACTACGAATAGAAGCTAGTGAAACTTCCTCTGAATATTTGATAAAAAATTATGTTTGAATTTGTGATTATTTTTATGTTTGATGGGAGTTTTCTCTATGCCCCTAGATATACCCTATAGAGGATTCTTTACGCTTAAACGGTATAGTGAAAAGATTGATGTTATCTCGGTGCTTAGTAAACGTGCGGAGTATTACCGGTTTGTTATCCTTTCCTTGACGCTCTGGCTAGTGCGGAGTGAAATATTAATTTTGGTGGGTGAGTCTTTTAATGAGAATTTTATATACACACAAGGATTAGAACTTGAGACATTACTTAAGCGATATTAAGCTGCTCCCGATGATGGAGTGAATATTATTTGCTTCAAATTAATAGCAAAAGTTATTCAGCTCGGAAAAGTAAAGCGAAGATACAATTGGGTTTTTTTCACGTTTGTTGTCGGGTGAAATTTTAAGGTACATAAAAAGGAATTTAAATACTAAAATTATTCTAAAACATACAATTTAATCCCTAAAAGGATTGTTTTTGCAATATCGTTTTTTCCCCAAAAAAATAATCGTACTACTGTTTTAAATGTTTATAAACACGTTACTAAGCTTGGATTAAAATTTTCAAACGATTTACGAATAGTAGTGTAAAATAATGATTTTGCCCTTAAATTGGTCAATTTAATGACTTAGATATGCATGGCTATTTTTGTATAAATATGAAATCAATATAAGGTAGTATTCGTTTAAATACTCTCAATCATCTAATAATGAACGCTCATATTTTTGGTATACACGATGCTTAAACCTAGTATCTCAAAAGATAATAACAATCGACTAACCATTGAAGTCGCTGGACTCATGCATATACATGTGTCGCGACCGTCTTTCGGGTGGGTCCGGAATTGGGCTTCGACTTAAATAAAATATTAGGAGTCGCCACCGATCATTTAAACAAAACATTTAGGTTGATCGGATACCATATTACCTGATCTGCATTTTACCAGAAATATGTAGGGCTCGGGAGTCGGTTACAGTCAAGGAAGGATTAGCACCCTTGAACTGTCCTTTCGGTACCATTTAATTTATCGGTTGTCTTAATTGAAAAAATTAAAATTTAAAAATTCGATTCAAATTACTTACCTTTGATTGATTAAAATTATCCTAAAAATATCATAAATAAAGTAAAAAACTAAAACAAACAAACACAAAGAGTTAGTATTAAAATCGAAATAAAAAAGAGTAAATAAAAAAGAATAAAGGAAAATTCGAATAAAAAAAAAATTAAATTGGAAAGGATTAAAATTCATGGATCAAATTAATTCTAGGAATAAGCTGCAAAAAAAAATTAAATAAAAATAGAAATTTAAAATATTAAAATAGCGAAAAAAAAAATTAAAAGACCAAACAATAATTAAGCCAAATGTAAAATAATGACTAAAATAAAGTATTCGAAAGCATAATGACCATAATATTAAAATATGGTTAGACTAGGGGGACTTAGGAGTGATTTGACCCTATATAATGATTTAAATGTAACACATGGAAAAGAAAGGGATCTAAATAGTATTAAACTAAAATTAGTGACTAGAACACAAAAAGCTATGAAATAAGGAGGAGTTAACTTGTGGTTTTCCCAAAATTAAAATAAAAGCAACTCCTTCCCCTAAATTCTATTTTTCCCGTGGATCTCCAGAACCCACATCTCTTCCTTATTTCTTTATTTTTGTTTTCATATCTGAAATTCGTTTAGTTGCCTTGATTTTATTGAGAAAAATAGGGAGAAAATCCCTTACAATTTAGTTCGAATCTTCCCACCTGACGACACTCCTTCGACAAAGGTAAGTTTTCGACTCTCTTTTTATTTTTTATATATTATTTTATGCTATTAGTTGAGTCGATTAGGTTTAAAATAAATAAATAAAAACATTCGATTACTTTTTAATTTCAGATATGTGTGAATATATTAGTATTTATAACACCTAAAATGACATAATATTTCGAAAATAATAATAAAAAACTATTGAAAATAAATAAATAAAAACTATTAAAAATTCAAAACAGAAAATCAATAAATAATAATAATAAAAATAAAGAAACTGTAATAAAAAATAGAAAACAACCTTCAATCTAGTAGTTTATTGCTTCTAAAAAAACGTCTGGAATCCCTCCTCCTCCTCCGATGTACAACTTCATCCGGCTATTTATAGCCATTTACAGATTTAACATAATAAACTAATCATACACTTGTTGATTTAAATACAATATCATATGCAATTTTTTTATTGTGAGTGGAGGGAGACAAGGATAGTGGAGGCAGACAAGGACTAGTGGAGGCTTGGTGGCCAGGCTGGGTGAGGTATGGGC